GGGGGTGGGGTGTGTCAAGTACAGAATAGAAACATACAAAGAATTTCTAATTAAGAGAACAATGTTTTAAGATAGTGTAACATAGCCAAAAACATACTGGACCCAAGTTGTCAAACCGAGTTCCAGTTTCTGCTATGGCATTAATTGTGGGTGACTGAGCCAATGGTCATCACTCTTTATACCTTCAGTTCTGTGTCTCCAAAAGAAAGGTCAGACTGAGTGATTCCTAAGGTATTTTATAAATATCCAGGATTTTTAAATTGTATACCAAATTTCTGAATCATTTCACTGATTTGGTTACTGAATTTGACTTAAAACATTTCAGAAATCAGTGCCTATTTAGTTATTCTTATTCTTGTCTTTAGTTCTTCATTTCTTTCCTCATGACTCTGGGTGTTTGCTATTCACTATGCCCACATATCTATTTCTATCTGTTTGTCATCTTAGTCTGTGTGACCTGAGTGACCTAGAATACCTGGATGAAGAATTCCACCAGAGCCTGCAGTGGATGAAAGACAATGACATCCATGACATCCTGGACCTCACGTTCACTGTAAATGAAGAAGTTTTTGGGCAGGTCTGTGTACGCGAGTAACTGGTGACTACGTGTGGTAACTGGAGGCTGTTGGTCGGTGAAGAATTAATTCAGTGGCTAAGATCAGATGCTTATTTATCTGTGGCTTTTTGGGTGGTTTAAACCCAGGTTTGTGTACAGTTACAATAATCTTGGTTGCAAAGATTATTCTAATGCCAACTGCTGATGAAGATGTTCTAATTTACAGGTTGTGATTATTATTTGTGTGTTGTAAGCAATCTTCTTTTTATTTCCAACGAAAATACCCACATAAGATATTAGAATGTGCCTTTTTAAAAGTCCACGCTACCCCAGAGTTGAATGTTAAAATACTTAATTGGCATTTGCATTTAACTTTCATTCATATTTTAGAACTGAAATTGATTGTTTTGAAGCTAAGGAAAAGTAAACAATATTTTGGTGAAAGTTTGAAAACATGTTGGGTGGTTTTTTTTTAAGAATGTGAATGGAAAAGTTGCTTAGATTTCTTTCAGAAATTGTATACTAGTTCATAAGTAATATCCTTACTTAGACATTAATATTTGGTTGCTTTCCTGAATTTTGTGTTTTGGAAAAGAAGTTCTCAATTTAACATTCACTTGAATGTAATTCTGTTTCCTTAAAGTCAATCTTTACTTAAATATGGGCTTTCTATATGCGGTTGATTCTAGACCCTAAAGGAATTCATGAAAATGTGTTTTTGTCAAATATTCGAATAGCCATGGGCCAGAATCTGGAACCAATTTATCATCATTTAAAAGGCTTATCTGGTTAGTCAGGATTTTTAAAACTTAACCTTCAGCACTTGCAATATATATGTATTTTTAACCACTGAGGCTTCAGACGCCCGCTCAGTGCCCGTTTTTCACTGAACTCTGGCATGTGCCTGGGCTCCGTGCTGGCCCCTCACGCCAGCTCGCGGCAGAGCATTTGTGTACCCTCGAGGGCGCTGCTTTACTGGCAGTCCTTTTGCTTTTTAATCCCAGATCACCGAACGAGAGTTAAAACCAGGGGGTGCCAATATCCCGGTCACGGAGAAGAACAAAAAGGAGTACATCGAGAGGATGGTGAAGTGGAGGATCGAGAGGGGCGTCGTGCAGCAGACGGAGAGCTTGGTGCGCGGCTTCTACGAGGTAGAGACAGCCAGCAGGGTGTGGCTCTGCAGGCCGATGGCAGCAGCCCATCTTCCTGTGACTTACATGTGCGCTATGTCTCCATTTTTCTTTTGCTACATTTACTGGTGCTCTTTCCATTTAGAAACTCCAGTGTTTTATCCTGCACGTTTCAAGAGCGCACACAGAAAGCTTAATGCCCTGTTACAAGAAATCGTTGACATAAAATGACCTAAATTCAAATAGCATTTGACAATTTAATGACCACTGATAACATTTAAGACATGCATCTTACTCATGCTTAGATACAGATAGTCAAATCTCATACTTGAGATTTGAAATGATTGTATCTAAGGGTCTGAATAGTTGTTACAAGTATTCCATGTGGCTTTTTCTGTAGGAGCCCTGGATCTTTTTCAGAAGAGACGGACGAACTGGGTTAATCAGTGCTCAGTTATAAAACAAAAATTCTGTTGAGGGAAATCTTGTTGACCTTGTAGTAAAAAAATACCTTATACTTGTTGAGAGCTTTTCAGTTTTTAAAGTGCCTACACAGAGTGTACCCACAGTATTCCCCAAAATCTTTGTGACCCCTTCTCTGACGCCCGGGGCTTAGCTGTAGCTGGGCCTCCTCTGGGTGCTTAAGCCATGCCCTGTATTCTTTTTGTTCCACAGGTGGTGGATGCCAGGCTGGTGTCCGTTTTCGATGCAAGAGAGCTGGAACTGGTCATCGCGGGCACCGCAGAAATAGACCTGAGTGATTGGAGAAACAACACAGAATATAGAGGAGGTGAAGTTTCGTTTATAGATGGCTGGATTTTAAATTGGAAATTAAAGGGAGGTGGATGGTTCAGCGTGCTGGTCTGCATCCAGGACAGGCACAAACACTTGCACTCTAATCATAGGTCTCCTGCAGCCTCCTTTGAGACCTTGGGCTAGGTACATTCCCTTCTTCTCCTGGTTACCTCATCTGTCAACTGGAGGAAGGACTGTTTACGCACCGTCTAAGGATGTCATAACACTTAATGGTTGGTGAAGAAATGTGACCATAAGAACACTAATTAATTGTTTTATGGGGTTGGTAGTGAAGCACCAGGGAGCTCAAACGCCACCTATATTCTACCTTCATTCTAAAACGTGAAGAGGCACACCCTCTGCGCTTCCTGATGAACACAGTTTTCCTACATTTAATTGAACTACTTACCAGTTGTAATTTACATTTGAAACACATGAATGGAACAAGACATGGTTCTCAAAATTCAAGTAGTTTATTAAACAAGCCCTTCTACATTCAAGCATTAAGTTCAACTGAAAAGGAAACTGCTGTAAGATTGGTTAAAAACTGCACTATGTACCACTCCACCAAATGGGAAGGCTTAGAAGTGGCATTTATATAGAGCAGTACAAGTTCTCAGTTATAATTGGGATCAAAGCCATTTAAATGTGCTGAATCAGTCAGTATACTTTGAAAGGGACCTGATGGTAACCCAGAGTTAGAGTTGTATCCAGTAACTTCAAGCAAAGAAATACATTTCCTGAAATTTTTTGCGCTGTTATAAGTCCTTGGAAAGCCGTGACAAACAACAGTTGTTTTTGTTTAGGTTTTGGTTTGGGTTGTAGTTTCTTAACTCAGAATGCAAGAGGTTAGCGCTGGTTCTGAACATGGAGAGTGAAACATGCAAACTTTCAGTCACTGAGTTCATCACTGAACCGCTCTACAGTTGTCTGTCTGTCCATTGAAACAGAGATTTAAAAAACAATCTTAAAAGTTCAGAGTGAAAAATAACATTTGCTAAATTGCCTTTGTTTTGGCCTGTGCTGGGCTCTTCCCGCTCATTACGCAGCCGTGGGCTGTCTTTGCTCCCCACTTTTTCTGAAAGGCAGGATTAAATTGCAGTTTCCATCGCTGCTATTTCCATAATAAGTCTTTTCCAGTTGGCCCAAAGTATAACCCATATATGGCCTTGGTTATTATAACTTGGTTAATCAAATTGCTTTCACTAACTAGAACGCAGTTTCTCCAACTTCTAAATAACTCACCTCTCACCATAAAGATTATTAGCTCATTCCTCCACCCAGGTGATCCTAATAGCAATACCATTAATCACATCAGCCATTTTGTATTTACACAGTATACACTTTTATTCACAGTGTATGACTAATCAAGTACCTATTTCTATGGTTATTATAAATCTTATCAAGTGAAATCCTTGGGAGGCGAGTGCTGGGGGTAGGGATGGGGCAGGAAAAGGGCAAGACGCCCAGCTGCCACGCTTGCGAGCCCAACTAGTTGGCACTGCAAGAAGAGGTGGCTTCCTGCCACTCGCCATATGTCCATGAGGCAGCTGTTTATAGAGGATACAAGGAGACACTTCTGCTCCGCCTTCTCCAAAAGGTTTGGCACAAACAGCAAAGGAGAGGCAGAAAAGGGCTGATTCATAAGGTCAGAAAACGTTAAAGCTGTAAAGAGCCAATGTCTTATTTTATAGATGAGAAAGCTCTCTGCTCAGCACCAAATAGCTAGTCCCTGCCAAAGGGAGCACATGGAGCCTATGTATCACAGTGTCCAGTCTAGTTTAATTTTTCCTTCACTTGATTCCTTCTGCAGAGGTCACTAAGCACAGCTGATCTAATAGCAAACAGTGAGGAAGGAGTCCCCCAAGTCCTACAACCACTGAAACACGGGAGGACCCACCTTCCGTTTCAGACTTCCTTCTTCTAACTCAGAATTGGAGCAGCTTTATGCACATTGAATATGTCAGTTAATTGGTTTGAACCACTAATTGTACCTTAATCTCTGTTGGCCTTCTCTCTGAATTTAATTTTTCTTCATTGAAAGGTTTGAAATCCACAACTACTTCCTTAGTCCACCCATGGGATGATACTTTTAACATTTTATTAAATTCTACTTAAGTATGGAATAAAAGTAAAATTTAGGTTGATTATTTGGGATTTATTAGGTGAAGAAATTAAAGTAATACAATTGCTTTTCCTTTTTTGTTAAGTAATTTGATTTCAAAATATGAACATTGTATGTAGTTTTAAGATAGTTTGCAATTGTGTATTAATTTGTATGATTGTTTGATATGTCTCTCCTTTACCAGAAGCTCTGTGAGGGTCTGTTTTCTTTGCCACTGGACCCCTAAGCTTTGTACAGTGCTTGGCATAGTGATACTCAAAAATTATTTCTTAAATGAATGACCAAAAGAGTTAAGCATTTCCAGTAACAGCGATTATATTTTTCAGAAGTGATATAGTTAAAGTAACTCATTTTTTTTTCTCTCCACTAACTTTATTTAGTGACCACTCTATGGAAACAGAGGCCTCTTGGTTTCACTTAATGTTGTTTTTATTTGACTTTTGACACTCATACAATCATGTTTACAGTGTTATTCCTTAGTCTTAATTTATAAACAACCTAAAAAGTCCAAGATGATGACATATGTCTGGGGTTTTTGTCAATGTGTCGTGGTGCTTTAAGATAGAAAAGTCAAAGTAATACAGGCTTTTGTGATTGGTTTGGTAGGATATCATGACAATCATATTGTAATTCGGTGGTTCTGGGCTGCAGTGGAAAGATTCAACAATGAGCAACGACTAAGGTTGTTACAGGTAAGACGCCATTGGTTAATCTTTTTAATGCATTAATATAATCATTGTTGGAATTGCATATTTTTAATAATTGCTAAGTATACCCAATAAATACATCCCATGTTAATGTGCAAATGTGGGACATAGTTTCGAGACTCTTGGGATTGCCCGGTTCTTTGGCTCCATCGCTGTGTACAGCATCCCTGACCACGTCCAAGCGTTTCATTAGAGTTGTGAGGAAGCACCACGTCCAGTTCAGGAATCTCAGGAACAGCATCTGCCTTCAGGGCAGTGTGGCCCTTTCAGAAGGAGGTCCCCGGGTACTCTGCAGGCCAGCATCCTTAGCAACAGATGATCTTCACTCGGTCCCTTAAGAAGTGACCCAGTTCCTTGATAAAGAGTCCTTTCTACTCCTCTATCTAACTTTCAACAAATTCAAGATAACAATGAAGTTCAAGAACACTGGAAAAACTAACTCATTTTCTTGTGGTATTTATAGTTACACAGGGCAATTGCTGGTTGGTTATAGCTAAAGAAATATCGGGCATGAGGGAGTCTTCTGAATGCTCAGAGCCTTTCAAGTACGTTGGGTCTTAGCTCCTTTGGATCAAGCATCTGCCCCTCAAATTTTCAAACCCAGAAATTCTTTTTTTTTTCCTTTTGTTGTCATTTTTTAAAAAATTCACGACAGATTGATCAGGGACTGTTGCTGATAGATTAATTGATACACCCACTTCATTAATCTACAATGGGAGCTACACCTGGTGTAAGCTTCTGAGCTGGTCAGCTGTACAGAGGCTTTATCTTCTCAAGCCCTCCACATCCCCTTTCCCTTTATAATGCACTGTCCTTGCTCGGTTCTCTGACAGAGTCCCCACGTTATGGTTATGGCACACCTCTAAAGCTTTGTCTTGAAGCTTCCCCGCAGCGAGCAGCGAGCAGCTCGCTGCCCTGCCCGGGAGCTCTGCCTGTGAATGACACCTTGCCTGCCTTGGCAGCTGGTCTCGTGGCTTCACCTCTCCTTCTGTTTTCTTGGGTTGGTAGTTCGTAACAGGCACGTCTAGCATTCCCTATGAAGGATTTGCTTCTCTCCGAGGAAGTAATGGCCCAAGAAGGTTCTGTGTGGAAAAATGGGGGAAAATCACCGCACTTCCCAGGTAAAGTGAAAAACAATATTTCTTTACTGTCACTACATTGTTCTAGAAGTTATGTATATATTAATTACTGTTTTGTGTTAAAAGTTCGGGAGAGTAGGAAAAGCTTTTAGAATAAACTTATTTCATTTGCTGATTTACCTTTCTAGATGACGGGGGTAAAGATCTTCCTGGTCATAGTTAATATACATACATACATATCTTAAAATACAAAATGCAACAAAACCAAAGCATTTGTTAGCTTTAGCAAAGCAATGTTGGTCACCATACTGTGGTTTCTTATGACTGTGGCTCTAACTTAGATGGTTCCAGAAACTCTGGTTTTAAGTTTCTGTTAATAACTATTTAGAATCCCTTCACTCAAAATTACCCTTGTGGCTTCTAAAGAATATTAAATCACGTGAATGTGCTATCTCCCTCCTTAGCTTCTTTCATCCATGCCTTAATTCCGTGGGCATGCTCTCTGCGTTGCATTCTCATTCATAACAAGATGGCACATTTCTTTGGAGTGGAAGAAAGTAGCTTTACTGTTGCTGCTAATATATGTAAGACTCAAAAAAAGTTTGGGGTTGAATAACTGGAGCTGGAGCAAAAGAAAAGGAGGGAACCAATAAACAAAGGCGGAATGGAGAAGAGTTGGTTTTAGAGCTCCTTTCTCCAATCAGCGGTAATAATGTAGAATTTTTGAGGTAAAAGGACCTCAGATTGCCTCTCATTTTACTGCCAATAAAACTGTAATCTGGGGAGGTTGAATGATCTTCCCACGATGTCATCCTGAGTTTCTTTATGTACAAACTACTTTAAGGAGCCTGTTAACAAGACTTTCTTCTTAGCAACTGCAAAAGTCTACTTTTTGAGAATTATGTTCTAAGCATCAACACGTGAGGAAAGGAGTGCTGAAAAACAGATGCAGAGAGCAAGGAGTAGTGCAAGCCCGGGGCTGGCCCGAGCTCCCTCAGTCACCTCAGGTGCATCTCAACCTGTGAGCAGAGGCACTACCCTGCAACACCTATTACCTGGCATACCTGATGTTCCAAACTTGGCAGACTATAATTTCATTATTTAAAGAATTATTCTGTTTTATTTATGTCTGAGTCATGTTCTTTTTTCCCTTAAGCTCATATTTGTATATCTAAAAACAGATACAAAAGTAGAGCCTTTCGCCCTTTGGAGAAGCTCAGGCATGAGCATCAAGGAGGCAGGAAAGGGTGGATCGATTGTGTCCCTTTGTCTTAAAATCTGTTTTTGTAAAGATCTACTTTTGTAAAGCGGATGGAACAAACTGTAACAAGAAGCAGATAGACCGGTTGTTCACAATGAATCACTACAGTTTTCACTAACACTGGTGAGCAGAGAGAGGCAATTTAGTATAGACATGAAGCTGGAGCTTCAGAGAGACTGGGCTCTATTATCCCAGTTCTCTTCTTATCCGCAGTGGGTAAGTTGCTTGGAGAAGTTGCTTAATCTTTCTGAGCCTCTGTTTCCTCATCTTCCTTGTAGGTTGGTAGTTCTGAGGATTAAGTGAAATCATTCATCTAAAACATGTACTGCTGACCTTGGCCCTGAATAAGCATCCAGTTAATGGCTGATAGCTGCCTCTATGATTTCTGTCACCATCATCTGTAATGTACAGGGTGTCCAAAAAAATGTACATACACTTATTATACATTATTAATTCCAATGTGTTAAATCTGAAATGAAAGAAACATCAACTGAGCTATCAGCTGTTGAAGTATGTATATGTTTTTTTGGGGACACCCTGTATATCACGCAGTAGCGTAATGGAAAAAGCACAGGGTTGGGAGTTAGAAGACCCCGGTTCTTGTCCCACCTCTGCCACCAGCTAACTCTTGGACCCAGAAGATCACTTGATCTCTGGACCTCAGTTTCCTTTGCTGTAAAAGGCCAGGGAGGGGGTGGTATATTAGGTTTGGTTGAGCAAGAAGTAACATCAACTGATTGTTGAAGAATCTTGGGGGTTGGGCTGGATTAATTCACTTTTTTACTTCCCCCAGGAGCTCCAGGAAGTTCATGTGCTGACTCATTACAAACAGTGGTGTTCTTCAGTGTCGTTGCGTACACACAGTTAGGCAACAGATGTGGTGTTTCTTCCTTTCTTTATTATGAACTAAGGCTGGTACTAGATTCTTAGTCTTACCTAGATTATAAAATCACATAAATAAAAATAATATGAGGCACATCAGGAGAGCAGTCTATGGTCATACTCTGTCTATAACAAGCCCTAACTTTTCAGGTCTCATAGGAGGAAAGAGCTGCTTGGCTATTCTAGTTCACATTAGTCTACTTATGAAACCTAGTTAACAGGCATGACAGCCAATCCGAGCGCTGTGATACACTGGCTATCTGATCCTAAGCAAGAGCCCAGATCCATCCCTGATGAGTAAGAATAACAATGCTGCTCAAAGAGTACTTGTGATGGTGAGATAACATGTATGTCAGTCCTCAGGGATAGCAGGTTTTCTTTGATCTTTTTAACCTTTTATCCTGAATCTTCTACAAGCCACCATACTCCTATATTAAAATGTGCTCCACAGAAAAAGGACATTTGCAGAAAAAAATAAAAAGAAGAACCTGTTTATCAGAAATGGTTTCTTGACTGATAACATTGTGATTACCCTTTATGAAATGTGGGGTGTTACTTAGGTGCAAAAAAGATCTGTAAGATTGGCCCTGGTCTAAAGAGTTTGTCTTATACGGCTGAGTCCATTTCTCCTACAATCGGAACAGATGCACCGGAGCCTTTTTTCCTGCAGTTTCCTGATAGATTTTAGTTGCAGAACTGAAGGGCTGGTTTCTCTCAAGCTGGTCAACCCCAATGTATTTCTTTGACTTGTTAGTGAGTTGATGTTTATTTAAAACATAACATTGTACATAGTGGAGACAGAATGGATGGATTTCCTTCTTGCTTAAAAAAATCTGCTCTCTGAGAGATCTGGCATCATCCAAGCATGGGAGGCTGTGCCCTGGAAAGCTGGAGTGGATGTCAGGGATGAGGGCAGGCAGTCCTGGCAGACTGGGGGCATCTTAGTCTTTCTAGACATGGATGACTGAGGGCCTTTCAGCTCAAACAAATGTGAGTCTCACCTTCTCTCAGGTTTCCTAGTCCCACTTTGCGGTAGCAGTGAACATAGCACTATTCACCATGTGGCCAAGCAGTGTCAAGGTATAGACGGTCATCTCCGAAGCCAGTGCAAGTTGAATCCAGGGCCCTTTTTTCTCTCTTGTGGTAATAAAGTAACTGGAGACCCAGATGATAAATAATGATGGAGCAGATGGCTGTCTCCATAGAGGCTTATAGCCCGAACACATCCCTGCACTTCCTCTGCTGTGTGGTGGTCGGTGGTTCGCTCTGAGTTTTGCGTTTCTGCAGATTTCCTAACCCCCAGTGTCCTGATCAGCTTGTGGGACACTGAATTCACTTTATGGAAATTGCTCTTAAATATTCCAAAAAGCAAGCTGCTAACATGCTAGCCTGGAAAATGCAGGGCCAGTCCTCTCCCTCAGCGCGGTATAGAGTTTATGTTCATCTCTGACGTTCTTGCCAAGTACGATAACAGGAGAGTTGGAGAGCTTCAATCATGCTGTTCTTTTTAATGTCATGTTGGTTTTGCCAGGGGGAGGAAACATGAAATGTTTTAAATGGCTGTGTCTGGAGGTTATGATGAATGAAATGCTGACCCAAATTAAGTAATAAGAAGCTAGAGTTAATTATGAAATGGGTATCTCAGGGATATGGTTTTTCTAGTGGAATAGAACTTAAAAAGATAAAATTATTTTTTAAAGATAAAAGACAACTTTTTTTCAATTTTAAAACTCTGCTTTTTATTCTTACGAAAAGGAAACTTTTCACACAAAAAATGCCAAGAAGTTTTATATATATATATAATTTCGAAAGTCCACTACCAAGGTAACCTCTACACATTTTGAAGTGTATCTTTTCACTCACTTCTATACACACACACACACAAGTTAAAAACAAAAATACAGTCATACGGCCTATACTGTTTGTAACCTCTTCATGTTTACCAAATATCCCTAATCATGAACACCTTTCCATGTCATCAATAATTCAGTTTTTTCCTCCTCAGTACAGAGAGCATTGTCTACTATCAAACTGAGCTATCAGCTAGGAAATGGAAAAATAACAGGAGTCCTGTAATATAGTGTCACTTTCTTTAATTANGAGAGCATTGTCTACTATCAAACTGAGCTATCAGCTAGGAAATGGAAAAATAACAGGAGTCCTGTAATATAGTGTCACCTTCTTTAATTAAAAAAAAGTTTCAGAACAAGAGATGGGCACTGGAAGGACCCCTTGGTGCCTTGTCTTTTCTGTTGTTGCCTTGAGGCACCCCCTTGGTCTTTCCAGTTCCCACCACCTGCTGGTCAGCTGAGGTGCATTGTGGTCTGGGAGGAAATTGGGAGAAGATTCTCATATATAGTCTGCTCAGTAGTTGAATCTCTGACATCAGGTCCTCTTTGACTCTTTTCCCCTCTTCCCTCTCATTCAGTTCTTACTGACAAGAATATTATAAGTTTTTACTCTTTTCTGATGTTGAATCAGCATGTGCTAGCAAAACTGTGTTAGTGATATGTAGTAATAGTACCTTACTAAAAATCTTTTAATGTGCTGTACCTTTTAGATTGGTCTTTACTTTGGGAAATGGGTAAAATGATCGCTAAAACATACTGTCTCTAAAAGGGGACTCATCAGTGACTAATGTAAAAAGTGGAGCTACTGAACATATTTGTGATTATGCAATGGAATGAGAGAAATTTTAATTGCTACAAGCAACAGACAATAGGATAGTCCAAGTTGAAATGACTAATGGTCCTTGAGAGCTGTTTCAGAAGTCTTATTTTAAAGTGCATATTTGTGAGTGACAAACATTACAGTTCTTAAGGAGTGGTTATCCCCCTTTCCTTGGCCTCAAGAGCAAAAACTAGTTTGGGCCCATCCCTTCCCACCTTCATCAGCACCT